GACCATAGCTGCCTCTAAAACGAAACGCTCTGGGTATATATCTCCGAGTACATCCGTCATATGCGAAGAAGTTTTCGACGATGCCTGTTTACCATCATCAGACGGTAAGTACTGTTAAACTGTACATTCTAACTGTTCGGAGCGAACGGTGCAGATTTGTCCTAAAGTTACTGCCATCGAGCATCATTGCTTGTTTTTGCATATTTTGTAATCTCTCTTCATTAGCGCTAGCCCCGCTAAAGCTTGTGCTCTGGTTAGCTTTGGCGCTCTTGCATTCGACCTGAGCTTTCGGCTGCTGCTGTAGCTGGGCCGATGGAGCTTGTGCTGATGGAGTTAGTGCTAATGGAGCTTGTGCACAAACATTTAACACAATTAAATACATAACTATTTCGTGAGTCTTTATGTAAAATCAAGGTGCTTGTTGAGAAATGAGCCTCGTAGTTTTTAATTCAATGTTCATGTATATTGCGATTGACCTATTTACACGCTCATGATTGTAGTACACCGCCTAAGTAACTATTTTTACGCGCATAGCTGTGTTGTTGTTTTTGCTCGTGTCCAGAACATAGATGTAATGTTCTCACACGCATGGCCAGACCCGCAGCTGCACACGCACACAGCGATGCGTTCCGTTGTTTGCATTGAGTCCGTCGCGTCGAGTCGTATCGCGTGATCTTCCAATTCCCTTTTGCTCGACTTCTTTTCGCGGAGTTGAGTTAGTAGAAACTTCTAGACGAAACCGCCCGCACGCATACTTTGTACCGCCGCAGAAACGACCCCCCCGCTGTTCTTGTAATATAATTGTACTATAACCACCAATAATCAATAAAAATAAATGAGCTCAAGATATAAACGATTATACAGTCCACTAATTCATAACCAGTGCTATAATTGATATCTTCCTCTAAACATATTGGCGACCCCGACGAGATATGAAGCCTGAACCACGCTCTTAATAATCAAATTACCTATGTAGTTCAGGAAATTTATTATTCGCGATGAAGCTGTTTGCGCTCATATCGGTGCCAAACATATAAAATACAAGTAAACCACACATAAAACAGTGATATTCGACATTTTCCATTACCGACATTTGGCTGCAGTTTGTGCTGTACAAAGGATATAGCCCTACATATATGAATCCGCATAATTCCCTACTTCACATACAAATTATGTTTACGTCCTATTCACCCACCCTAACCACGAGTAACAGGACACCGCCTAGTATCGAATGATTCTGACACTTCAAGCTAGAGTCACCAATTACAAACAGTTGATTCATCCACTCCAGAAACACCACCAATGATGAGATCGATTCCCCACAATCACGCCATACATGGAGGATCAATCCGAGCTAAGCATTAAACCTTGAATTCTCTCACACTTCTAACTTCCTCATGTAATGCAACACGGATCGCCAGCAGCGGTCGCCTTATATAAAAGCCGACGCATCCCCAAATATTAGTCCAGGCACGTATGACATCGCCACGAAGATGCAGACGAGGAATGCGACGCCCAAAGCAAGAGTCTAGATCTCCGAAAGAAGTGCTGATGGAATCTAGCCAGCAGCAGAGAGATCAGTTTACAACAAACAGACCTACAGTTCAGTCGCGGAACTCAACCTTATCTTGTAACATTAAGAAGTACAGCCATTTGAAAATAAAATCTTTTTACAAACGTAAGTTTCAGTTGCGGATATTTAACTATATGTATATATATATCGGTCTCTGAGTGCAATTACACCGTCAAGAAGCGGTTCTTCTTTTAGAAGCTGAGGCAAAAGCAGAACACAAATCGGAACAGTTTGTTTTTCGTCGCTTGGTTTTTCGGCCTGGCCCGTGTATACAGGGTGTTATTTCGTACCCTGGAAAACTCTAGTAGTGCCTCGATCTGATGGAGCTCGCCAGTGGCGCTCGTGCCGATTTCACGACGGAATATTTGGATAACGAGGCGAAATTATATAGCGAGTTAGCCCCACAGAAGAAGCAGTTGAGCAAGGCAAACTCAACTACCATGCCACATCATTTCACCGAAGAAGCTACTTTCAACATTTCAGCTCGGAGGTCAAGGCTGCCGCATCTGGTGTCGGCTCGCTTCAGTAGTGCACTATGGTACTATGGTAGTACAATGAGCAGGAGCTAAGTAATTTGGAGAAATTCCAGTATGCTAGCTTAGAAAAATTATGGAATTCGACTTATGGAAAATCGTTAGAATTGCTTAGTAATCGTTTCCACAAAAATTACCTTCATTTTCAGGCACACGTAAGGGCGATATTTGGGCTACATGGTGTTGAGATGGGATCTACAAGGAGTCTTCCACAGCTCAGCGACAAGGTCAATGCTCATCTGCATGCGATTCGGCCGTTGTCATCATCAAAAGGGGATTTTAGATGGAGTTCTGACTCGAATCGTAACGCAGAAAAAAGAGTTGCCGAGCAATAAGCTGTCCAGGTGGAACTCCTTGGCGTAATTTCTGGAAATACGATACAGGATGATGGAGCATCGAGGAAATGAGTTGGTAACCGAAACACGAAGCACCAAAAAGCATTCATAATCCAAGCCAAAATGTCCTCATTGCTTCATCTAACTATATTAAAAACACAGCACGTAGGTTTTGTGATTCCATTCTCCAATCTAGTCACATTCTCCAATCTCGTTCGCGTCCCGTCAAACTGACAAACAGAGAACAGAACAGCACCAGTTGCAACAGAAGAAGTGTGTGATATACCCCAACATATTACTTAGTATATAAAACTGAAAGCGATGAAATTCCTAATCTGTGCACTACTCGCCGCGGCTTTCTACGTGGCCGCTGCCAAAGTCAAAGTTGAGGAGGAGGCTCTCATTGCGACAATGGACAACTTTAAGCAATTGGTTGCCGACAATGAGTTTATGCTAGTTGAATTATATGCTCCTTGGTGCGGACAATGCAAGGCCCTCACTCACGAGTATGCCAAGGCTGCTCAGCAGCTAGCCGAGAAGGGCTCGCCAATCAATCTGGCCAAGGTCGACGCCACCGTCGAAGGTGATCTAGCTGAGCAGTAACAGGTGCGTGGTTACCTCACAGGGGAGTACAACGGGGTCGTCAGGCCGCCGACATCATCTCCAACGTGGCCGATGCTGAGCAGTTCCTCAAGAACAACGAAATTGCCATCATTGGTTTCTTCCAGGAGGCCAAGATCTTCACCAAGACCGCCTACGCCCTGGACTCGTTTGTCTTCGGTGTGAGCAGCAGTGCAAAGACAATGGCGTGATCCTGTTTAATCTGTGTTCGAATGCGAGCTCACCAAGGAGACTCTGATGTAGGTCGCTCAAGTACAGTCACTGCCCCTGATTGTGAACTTTAACCACGAGAAGGAGGAAAACAAAAAGAGCTAACACGAAAATCTAACAACAATGAACAGAAACATGCCTACAACAAACAACAGCAACAACAAATGGCATCGTAAACTCTGTAGCTTATTTCTTTGTTCTATTTGTATGCAATTGACCGCACAGGATCGGCTAGAATCTCCTCATCCAGCAAATGAGTTGTTATCATTTGGCTGTTGCGTCAGGTCGCTGGTCTCCCGCCCGTCCGCCATCCCAGCATTTGAGACTCAATTTTATCTTCGCATAATCAATTTTTCAATATTTTTATACTCGATATTCAAAATGAGCATTGGGGTATATCAGATTTGTGGTAAAAGTGGATGTATGTAACGTCCAGAAGGAATCGTTTCCGACCCCATAAAGTATATATATTCTTGATCAGCATCAATAGCCGAGTCGATTGAGCCATGTCTGCCTGTCCGTCCCTATTAGCGCCTGGTGCTCAAAGACTATAAGAGCTAGAGCAACGATGTTTTGGATCCAGACTTCTGTGATATGTCACTGCTACAAAAATATTTCCAAACTTCGCCCCGCCCACTTCCGCCCCCACAAAGGACGAAAATCTGTGGCATCCACAATTTTAAAGATGCAAGAAAACCAAAAACGCAGGAAATGACCATATCTTTAAGACAGAATCTGAATTGGATCGTATTATTATTATAGCCAGTATCAAGAAAAAAATTTCATTTTTTCTCGCCCTGTCTCTCTCTAACACACACGGAGAATAGGCTTTACTTAGAGTAAAACATTAGCGCCTAGATCTCAGAGACTATAAAAGCTAGAGCAACCAAATTTGGTACACAAATTTGGTCACAAAAGACGAAAATCTTGGGGGTATCCACAAATCTCAGAGACTATTAACGCTAGATAACCAAATTTGGTATCCGCACTCCTGTTAGATCTCACTATAAGACTTATATCACAAAATTTCGACCCACCCCCTTCCGCCCCCACAAAGAACGAAAATCTGTTGCATCCACAATATTGAGGATACGAGAAAACTAAAAACGCAAATCATAAATTATGACCATATCTATCAGATTGTTGAATCTGGATCAGATCAGATAATTTTTATAGCCAACAGGAACAAATCAATTTGCACTGGCTACGTAGCCCCCGACGTCACGCTCAGACTGATTTTCTGTCTCTCTCGCACGCACTCTTTGTCGTGTCTTTTAATATTCGCGGCGTATGGCGGAGGAGAGCCTGACTAAGTATCGGGTATAAATGTAGAGTTGCGGTCTCCGCAGCAACTTACAACGTTCCCCCTCATTTTGTTTGTATCTGTACTTGCAAAGAAACTTTCAACGCTAACATGTGCCTGTGGATTGCATAAACTTAAAATTCAGTTTTATTGAAGAATGAAGCAAAATCGATCAATTTTAATATGTAATTCTTTAAGTTTTCTTTTTTTTTAGAATTTTTAAAATCATTGAAGATACTGATTAAGAAAGTTGGTAGCAACATTAAAACTAGAAAAAATATCTAACATGTTTTTAAATTTGGCCCCTACTTTGCGCTTTAAGAAAGCAAAGAAAATTCATCTCTGCCTCAATTTTTTTCATCCTCAATAGTTTCAGCAGACACGGCCCGCCAAAACATCAAACATCTGCATCTGCTAGACCGCACATGCCAAAGGATGAGGAGGATTCCCTGTTTGAGGTTGTGAAGCGGTCTTGGGAGCTGGAAAATTATTGCTCTTCGGAGGAAACTGCATCGAGTGAGGATCTACTCCGCGAGCGTTTGTTCAAGGAAAACTACTCTCCTCTCGAAAATGGACAAATTTCGTTTTGGCTTTTGACTAATGCTGGTTTTGAGTCTCTTGGCAACGTTTTTTTCGATGGTTCCGCTAATACCACATCTGGGCGCTCTCTTAATGACTTAGTTATGGCTGGCCCAGCCATTCAGCCAAAATTATTCAACAAACTGCCACGTTTTAGCTTCTAAACGATTGCTCTTTGCGAATATATATGCAAGATGTATCGCTGCCTACTGATGAAATCAAGGTGTACAAGCTGGAGACCGTTATATATAGAACTAGGCCCGCTGCTTTTTGGGCCAGCATGGCCGCATAAGGAGCTTGCGCTTGCATAAAATCGAATGTCCAACTGAATCGCGCATGGCCTTCTAAAGTTTCGCAAACTATAGACTTACCGGAGCGCACACCTATGCCGCAGGTTGGATCACTCATAAAGATTTTGGCTGGAAGCCAAGGGAAGCCGGCTTTCAAGTCGGCAAAATACCATTTTTATCAAGTCGTCGGAACAACAGTGCTAGCTCTTGAAGAGCAGGGTCACGCTGATGGAGCTAGTGCAGCTCCGACCGCAAACACAGAATAAACATTTAACAAATTAAAATAACTATTTCGTGAGTCCTAGCGCCCGACGGTTTGTACGTATCCCGTTTTCCACAGCCGTAACAAAAGACGATGCGATCCCCTACGCAATGTTGATACAGATGACCCTGACAACCACAGTTCCTACTGCGGGTTACTGCCGCAATATCTAGCTGTTCTGCTTCATCGACCTCAACATCACCATCCTTATCTGTCTGCACAACAATTTCATGCACCTGTCGTCGTATAGGAATACGCTTCGGCTCAGCGCTGCCCACTTTAGCCACTGATTGCAAAAAGCGCTCGCGAGTACGCAATATGTTGCGCAATTGCGCTACGGACAGAATTGGAATGTATAAAATTTCATGTTGGTTATCGGCCAAGATATTCGACTTTAGCACTTCCAACAGCGACATTTCCGACATGGGGCTGACTATTTTGTCGGACAAGGTTACAATGGCTTCGTAGATTGTATCAAATGGTTCGTGCGGCTTCTGCTTTCGTTGAACTATTGCCGCACGAATTTCTAGGTCGCTACGCCCCTCTCTAAATCGAGTTTTTAAAGCTGTACTTAGCTGCTGCGGAGGGTACACTTTTATGGTAACGCCAAAACCACTCGCTAGCACTGGCTTCAAACAGGTAAATGGCGTTTCTGGCAACTAGGTCGAGATTATCTTCTAAGGTCGGCTTGGTTAGGGCTTCTATCCAATATATAAAATCGATTATTTTTCCAGTCCTATCTGTTCGTAGTCCCGCTATCTGTTGGAATCCACATGGGGTTACCCATAGAATCATTGATTTATCGGGACACCTAGAGGCTCTCAAGTGGGTATTTGGAACCACTGTTAAATGGTTTGGTTTTCTCCACTAGGCTTTGAACATCCTGAAACTTGATTATTCGGCTGCTGTACCGTTTGACTTACATTGTCTTAGTCAATTTGGGCCAGGGCGTCCGTCAACGCCATGAGCGGCCCGCCTGTCAGCAGGTGCCCGGGAGTCAGCGCGTCTCCGTCGCTTGGGTCTGGGCTTAGGGGTCCTAGCGGGCGCGAGTTGAGTACCGCCTCGATCCCGACCAGCACGGTCTCCAGCTCCTCTGCGGTGAGGAGAGCGCTTCCGACTGCCCGTAGGAGTAGGCCCTTGGCAGACTTCACACCGGCCTCCCAAAGTCCGCCCATGTGCGGTGCTCGAGGCGGTATGAAAGCAAACTCGCACCCGCTTCTTGACGCAAATTCGCGTATCGCGTCCGCTTCCGCTTCTATTTTCTTCCGCAGTTCGCTGAAGTGGCGACATGCTCCGACGAAATTTGTCGCGTTGTCGCGTTGTCGCAGTTCACGCGTTGCGGACATCATCGACGACCGACGAACCTTTGGAATGCCAACAAGAAGGAATTAGTCGTCAAATCGGAGACAATTTCTAAATGATTCGCCTTGGACGCAAAACAGACAAATAACGCAATTTAGGACTTATAAGGGGGCCTTCCACGAATTTTCAGAGTCGTATAGACTGGGCCACAAAAATCAACGCCACATACTGAAAATGGGCGGAGAGCACGGAGCCGGTCTGCGGGTAAGTTGCCCATCATTTGGGTCTGGAGTAGAGGCTTGCATTTAAAGCAACAAATACACTACCTAACTGTCGCCCTGCAGACCGCCTGAGCATTCACTATCCAAATGCGCTGTCTAAGGATACTCACGAGTGCTCGTGGGCCGGCATGAAAATTCGTTTGATGCAGATAGCGAACGTATGTCTGCACAAACTGCGAGCGTTTTGTCAATAAAAAGGGAAACTTGGCATTATATGACATAGGAGCGTTAACTAGTAGCCCCCCAACTCGCAACAACGAAAAAGAGCACCATGTCCCGGCCTCTTCATGGATGAAGGGATTCAAGCGCTGAAGACTGGGGCCTAACTTGGTGCCTTTACGAACCCTTTCAATATCTTCTTGAGACTCATTTTTCTGTGTTATTTCGACTATTTTTAGAAACGCCTCGTCGTATTCCACGGATGACGGAATTTTTCCACAGTTGAGACTTTTGTCTTTGCATTTTCGGATGAAGCGGAACACGAAAACGAACACTCTTAGCAGTTTGAGGTGTGACGAGTATCCCTCGACTACATCCACTAAATAATTTGGCTTGGCCGCGACGGTCAGTCCGACCGATTTCTTCTGACTTTCCATCTGTAGCTCTTCTTCGGAAAGCTCGAAGTGTGGATTTCTGGGCCAGCTCTCTTCTTCAAACTTTAAGAACTCTGATCCACCAAACCAGATCGACTGCACGATTTCCTCTACGTCACAACCTCTCGAAACTATGTCTGCTGGGCTCTGTTTTGTTGGCACATGCCGCCACGTAGCTTCACTTGACCACTCTTGAATCTCCGCTACTCGGTTCGCAACGAATGTTGACAACGACGAAGGGTGGGATCTGATCCAATGAAGAGTAACTTCTGAATCTGACCAGAATATCATTTTCTCAATTGGAACCTTGAGCAGTGATTTGATTCGGTGACAAAGGTCTGCTAGAAGGTGAGCGGCACATAACTCAAGCCTTGGGAGCGTTTTCGTCTTGAGTGGCCCTACTTTCGACTTTGCAGTCAACAAGGAGACCTCGAAACCTTCTGCAGTCTTTCTACGGATATAGACGCAGGCTCCATAAGCTCTCATGGATGCGTCGGCAAAGGCATGTACTTGAATCGGTGACATGGGATCAGTATGCACAAATCGAGGTATGGTAATCTTCTCTAACTAACCCAAGGATTCTTTTAATAAGTTCCATGCTGTTTCCAAGTTCATTAGAATGGACTCATCCCAATCTAGCTTGTTAAGCCAAAGCTCCTGCAGTAGGATCTTTCCCTTAATTACTAAAGGACTTAACAAGCCAAGGGGGTCAAACAGCTTTGATGTCACCGATAATATGTTCCGTTTTGTCGCTCGGAGACCCATAACTGACGTGTCAATTTGGAACTTAAAGACGTCTTCGTGTGGCAGCCACGATATTCCTAACGCCTTAGTTGACTCTTAGTCCGAGATCTTTATCGGTTTAACTGTGCTCTCGGATGCGGTGACCTCAGGTGAGTTCGAAAACCATTTAGTCAATTCAAACCCAGCAGTTTGAAGAACCTGAGCCACATCAGACTAAATTGTCTTTAACTCCTCTACGCAACCAGCACCAGTCAACATGCCATCTACATAGAAGTCGGAGTCAATAACTTCAGCAGCTTTAGGGAATGAGAGTTTTGCAGACTCACTCAACCTCTTCAAACACCGAATAGCCAAAAATGGGGCTGGTCCAGTCCTATATGTTACGGTGTTGAGCTGGTATATTCTCAAGGACTCAGACGGGTCTCTTCTCCACACTATGAGCTGGAATTGTCTATCCGCATCAGCGACCCAGCCTTGGCGATACGTCTTCTTGACATCAGCTGTCAAGGCGTACCTGTGTACTCCAAATTCATCGTCAATGTCTATATCTTCAATCTTCTCTTGAAGTTCGCGTGCCGTGTCAATGCTACGCATCAGCGCTTCGAGTCTGCACTCGAGCTCCGTCAATACCAGCGGAATATCCCCCTCTTCTAAACGGTCCGCTAATAAACGAATGCCTTTGACACGGCAACTGCGCTTTTTCTTCAGCTCTTCAAAGGCGATATTGTTGGCTTTTGAGGCCATATTGATTCTCAATACAAGCAACTGAAGGCGAAAGATCGTTTTTAATAATCGTATTTAATGCCGAGGCACTCAATGAAATAATGGGTAATTGTACCCAAACGAGGTGAAAAACCAATATACCCGACCAATTTAGGGTGGAGCGTCGTTGGCTGGCGCGTACACGAAAACCACACAAGAATAGCAACGAACTGCACTGGTGACAAGCGAAAACGAAAAATTTCACCGCTGTAGTTCTGAAGAATGGATGTTGTGTATACGTATGCACCGACAACTATCGACGCTAAATTGATTTGCGAGGCACGACTTTGTCTTAATTGATAGTTGGATCCTACTGACACCAAACGAATATACCCGACGAAAACAGGGTAGCGCGTCACTTGGTGTCTGGTTTGGATCAAACGCGCCAAACAAAAGAACAACGATAAGCAACGGTGAGGAGCGAAAGCGAGACGAAAAAATTCACCGCTGCAGCTGCGTATTGGTATGCGTGCTTGGCCAACGACCCAACTATACATATATTTGACACAACGAAAACGAGAAAGGGGTGACAGCGATTGCAGTTAAAATGAGTTATATGTGTAGTTATTGCGTCCAAGAGGGTAAGATGTACATATGTATATAGTTAAATATCCGCAATTCGATTTTAAGTTTTTTAAAAAAGACTTTTATTTTACAACTTAAATATCTTTATGTCACAAGATTTAAATGAATTCCCCGACTTGACTGTGGGTCTGCTTGTCTC